CAAAAAACGAATAACAAAACCCACTTCTGTGGGAGCATTTACAGGTTGCATCTCTACATATGGAGAGATCGCTGACTCCACAGGATTGAATTGTCCTTCTGAAGTTTCTCTCACAGAACACGAGCTGCCTATGGCCTTGGAGGTCCCTAAAGAGGAACTGCCCCTGACTGCCCCTCCACACTTTCCATGCTGTACTGGGGCCAGGTCGCCCCTAGGTGGTGCTGTCAGGACTTGCAGGAAGGTGCACTTGCCTCACTTTGAGGTGAAGAGGAAGTGGAGATGGACAGGCACTCTGAGAGAGAAAACTGCTAAGGCCCGAAGTCCCTCCTGGCTGGTTTTGGCCATATCTGAGAAAGTGCCGGGGCTGTAAACATGGGATCACTAGCATGGCCGTTATGCATATAGCCAAATAGGTTATTACCCACATTTTAAACTGAGGTTTAAGTCCCTTACCTATGGTTATGCAGGTTGTTAGTGTTCGTGTAGGGGTTTGAAGCCAGGCAATTTTGTTCTGGAACCCTACTATTAACCACTGCTCCCCGCCGGACACGGCAGCAGGACCGCGCAGGAGCCAGGTGGAGATGGGTTTTACAGAGGCACAGACTTGACACCTGTTCTGAGAGGCTTAGCTTGTGACTGAGCTTGGCCAAGGGCCCAGCATCTTGGCGTAGTGTTGTTGTTCTTATTAGAAATAATCTCATGAAGTGATGAAAGTTCTCTCTTTTTTGAAAACCAGAGAAAGTTTTAAAAATGTTGACTTGTGGTGTAGGGAGAAACAAGGTCCTCCAGAGGTGGTTTCTCTCACATCTCACGGGTAATAAGAGAATTCATTAGGACATCCTATTGGCAGGGACCTGTCTATGGAAAATAGCACCTAGGGCAATTAGTGTTAAATTGCTGAATGATCTCTCCCAGATGGTGATGGAAAGAGTGATGGCCAATAGAAATTGCTCTTATTTCATTGGGTATATACCTAGGAGTGGGGTTGCTGGGGCATATGGTATTTCTGTTTCTAGCATTTTGAGGAAATGCCATACTGTTTTCCAAAGTGCTTGTACCATTTCACATTCCCATCAGAAATGAATAAGAGTTCCAGTCTTCCCACAACCACTCAAACATTTGTTATTTTCTTTTTTTTTTTTTTTAAATTAGTACCAGTAATGTCAGGGTGAGATGGTATCTCATTGTAGTTTTGATTTGCATTTCTCTAATGGCTAATGACCATGAGCATTTCTTCATGTGTTAGTTAGCCATCTGAATGTCTTCTTTGATGAAGTATCTGTTCATATCCTTGGTCCATTTTTTAATTGAATTGTTTGTCTTTTTGTTGTTGAAGAGTTAAAGTTTTCTATAGATTTTAGAGTTTAGACCCTTGTTGGATATGTCATAGCCAAAAAAATTTTCCCAGTCTGTAGGTTCTGTTTTTATTCTTTTGGAGAAGTCTTTTGATAAGCATAAAAGTTTAATTTTTAGGAGGTCCCATTTATCTAGTTCTTCTAATCTTGTGCATTTTTAGTTATGTTTGATATTCTGTTTATTTCATATATTAGGGCCCCTATTGTTGTCCCTGGAGCTCTGGTGACATAATGGTTAAGAGCTTGGCTGCTAACCAAAAGGATGGCAGTTCAAATCCACCAGCTGCTCCTTGGAAACCCTATGGGGCAGTTCTACTCTGTCCTGTAGGGTCACTGTGAGTCAGAATTGACTCAGTGGCAACGGGTTGGATGGTTTGAGATTTGTCTCTATTTTTTCTTTCATGATCTTTATAGTTTTAGGTTTTATATTTAGGTCTTTGATCCATTTTGAGTTAGTTTTTGTGTATGGTGTGAGGTATGGGTCATGTTTCTTTTTTCTTTTTTTTTTTTATGGATGAACACCCAGTTTTGCCGGCACCATTTATGAAAGAGACTGTCTTTTCCCCGTTAAATGGACTTTGACCCTTTGTCAAAGATCAGCTGCCTGAAGGTGGATGGATTTACATCTGGGTTCTCAAATTCCATTCCATTGGTCTATGTGTCTGTCATTGTACCAGTACCAGGCCATTTTGATTATCTTGGCTGTATAGTAGGTTCTAAGATCAGATAGCGTGAGGCTTCCTACTTTGTTCTTCTTCTTCAATAATGCTTTACTTATCCGGGTCTCTTTCCTTTCCATATAAAGCTGGTGATTGGTTTTTCCATCTCGTTAAAGAATGCTGTTGGAATTTGGATTGAAATTGCATTATATCTGTAGATAGTACTGACATTTTCACAGTGCTGAGTCTTCCTATCCATGAGCATGGTCACTTGCTGCGGCCATTTTGTCCTGCTTCGTTATGTGATTGGATATTGTCTGTTGTCACTGAGGCTTCAAGATGTTATTATATATATCTATTTATTGTGTGTTTGTTTTCTCTATTCTGAGTTTTTGCTTTGTTTTGTTTTGATGTATTGGAGTAGCCTGGACTTGTGTGCTACTCTGGTCTCTAATCCGGCCACATTGAAGCTCTCACATCCTGTATCCATGTGGGTGGAGCAGCAACTGAGTGTGTGAGTGTGGCCCTGTCTGCTGGTCTTGAGTAGCTACTGAGGATGTAGGTGACATTTGTGGTGACGTGGTGTATCTGTCCAACTGGTCACCTGGCCTTGACTGCAGGGGGCATTTTCCCTCATCACTGGGTTGGGTGGTGTGCATGCACTCTGCCAATTACTGGATGGTCAGGTTCAAGGGCTCCCTGATTGTCAGTCACCGAGGGGGTGGTACAGAAACTCTCACCAATGGTCCTGGGCAGGCAGGACTGCGTGGGGGTGTTCAGAGTGGACATAATCCTCTGGTTGCAGATGGGATAACATGGATGACAAGACAGCAACTATGTTGCCTGTCCATGAGCGCCTGGTTGGAGGGCGAGCCCCTGTATGCTACAGCACGACGTGCAGGAGGTTGTGCAGCTGGTCCTCGGGACCCTGGTGCAGGTGGTTTGTCTCAATATGGCTACAGTATGCAGGTTTGGCTAGTAAGGCACTGGCTGGGGTGACTGGAGTGAGTAGGAAGTGCCGCAGGTCCTTGATCCCCCATTGTGAGTGATTGAGCAAAGGGGCAGGTGTCTCCAGACTGTGGGAAACTGTCTTAGGAGGTGGGGCAGTGGCGAGTGCTGCTGGACCACAATCACGTACAGGGAGGGAAGATGGGCAAGGAGGGTGAGGGTGCCCCAAAGGCCCGTGTGTCTCCAGCATGGGTGCTGGGGTGGGTGCAGTGAGTGGGGTGTATGCATTTGACCTTCACCACCAGGTGGGAGGCACTCCTGCCTGGCTCTGGTCGTGAGTGCAGAGTCATTGCTGCTTGGCTGCACCAGGTGATGGGGATTTCAACTGGGAACACTGCTTGCTTTGTCTCATTCTGGCTGCGCAGTGCAGGCTCAGCTAGCAGAGCACCAGCAATCCGTAATTCTCTCTATCTGTTGTTTTTGTATTATCTCTCCTTCCGCTTGGTGCTCATTCCAATTCTTCATCCTTATCTTTGATGCTTAGGGTTCCTAGGCTGTCATCTATATTTGATTCACTTGTTTTTTTCAGGTCTTCCTTGTAAGAGGGATGTTATGAAGCCTCGGACTACTCCACCATCTTGGACTGCCTCCTTTCTGTAGCTTTGATGTGCATCTCTCTAATGGCTAATGATCACAAGCATCTTTTCATGTGTTTGTTGGCCACTTGAATGTCCTCTTTGGTGAAGTGTCTGTTTGTGTCTTTTGCCCGTTTTTTAATCGGATTGTTGTCTCTTTGTTGGTGGGTTATTGAAGTTTTCTATATATTTTAGAGATTAGACCCTTATCATATATATTTTTCACAAATATTTTTTCCTAATCTGTAGGTTCTTTTTTTATTCTTTTGATAAAGTCTTTTGATGAGCATAAGTATTTGATTTTTAGGAAGTCCCAGTTATCTAATTTGTCATCAGTTGCTCATGTATTTGAAGTTGTGTTTGGTATTCTATTACTGAAAAAAAAATTAGGTCCCATAGTTTTGTCCCTATATTATCTTCCAGGAATATTATAGTTTTAGCTTTAACTTTTAGGTCTTCAATACATTTTGAGTTAGTTTTTGTGAATGATGTTAGGTATGGATCTTGTTTCATTTTTCTGCAAATGGATATCCGGTTTTGCCAGCGCCCTTCATTAAAGAGACTGTTTCTTCCCCATTGAATGGATTTTGACTCTGTTGAAAATCAGCTGCCCATAGATGGATAGACTTACTTTTGGATTCTCAATTCTATTCCATTGGTCTGTGTATCTATCATTGAACCAGTACCAGGCTGTTTTGATTATTGCGGCTGTGTAGTATGTTTTTAGATCAGGAAGTGTGAGGCCTCCTACTTTGCCTCTTTTCAATATTCCTTTCGCTATTCAGAGCCTCCTTCCTTTCTGTATAAAGTTGGTGATATGTTTTTCCATTTCACTAAAGAATATTGTTGGAATTTGGATTGGGATTGCATTATATCTACAGATCGCTTTAGGTAGTAGGTACTGACATTTTCACAATGTTGAGTCTTCCAGTCTGTGAACATGGAATGTTTTTCCATTTATGTAGGTCTCTTTTAGTTTCTTGCAGTAGTATTTTATAGTTTTCATTGTATAGGTCTTTTATATCCCTAGTTAGGTTTATTTCTAAATATCTTATCCTTTTGGTGGCTATTGTAAATGATATTATTTTCTTGATTTCCTTTTTGGAGTTCTCCTTGTTAGTGTAAAGGAACCAAACTGATTTTTGTGTGTTGAACTTGTATCCTGCCACTTTGCTGAATCCTTCTATTAGATCCAGTTGCTTTTTTTTTTTTTTTTTTAATTTGTCTTCAGGTGAAGGCTTACAGAACAAATAGTTTCTCATGAAACAGTAGTACACATGTTGTTTTATGACATTGGTTAACAACCCCACAACATATTAACCCTCTAAATTCTCAACTTTTTTTTTTTTTTTTGGTGAAAATGCACAGAGCCAAAGATACACCATTTCAAAAATTTCTACATAAAAAATATGGAACGCTTCACGAATTTTCGTGTCATCCTTGCGCAGGGGCCATACTAATCTCTGTATTGTTCCAGTTTTAGTATATGTGCTGCCAAAGCAAGCACTCCAGTTGCTTTCTTGTGGAATTTCTGAGATTTTCTATGTATAGGATCATGCCATCTGTGAATAGAGATAGTTTTACTTCTTCCTTACTAATTTGGATACTGTTTATTTCTCTTTCTTGTCTTATTACTCTGGTTGGAACTTCCAGTACAATATCGAATAAGAGTGGTGATAAAGGGCATCCTTGTCTTGTTTCCCTTCTCAAGGGGAAGGCTCTCAGTCTTTCTCCATTGAGAATAATGTTGGCTGTTCGCTTTGCATATATGCCCTTAATTATGATGAGGCATTTCCCTTCTATTTCTATTTGCTGAGAGTTTTTATCAAGAAAGGGTGTTGGATTTTATCAAATGCCTTTTCTGCATCAATTGAGATGATTGTGTGATTCTTTTCCTTTGTTTTACTTATGTGGTGAATTATATTAATTATTTTCTAATGTCGAACTACCCTTGCATTCCTGATGTGAATCCTGCCTGATCATGATGTATGATTTTTTTTATATGCTTTTGAATTCTGTTGACTAGAATTTTGTTGAGAATTTTTGCGTCTATATTTATGAGGGATATTGGTCTGTAGTTTTCCTTTTTTGTAGTGTCTTTACTTGGCTTTGGTAACAGGATAATGACAGCTTCATAGAATGAGTTGGGGAGTATTCCTTCCTTTTCTATGTTTTGGAAGTGTTTGAGTAGAATTGGTGTCAGCTTTTCTCTGGATGTTTGGTCAAATTCCCCAATGAAGCCATCTGAGCTGGGGCTTTATTTCATTGGGAGTTTTTTGATAATATCTTTCATCTCTTCTTCTGTTATGGGTCTGTTTAGATTTTATACCTCTACTTGTGTTAGTTTAGGTTGGTAGTGTGCTTCTAGAAATTTGTCCATTTCTTGTAGGTTTTCAAATTTGTGGGAGTACAATTTTTCATAGTATTATGTTACGATCTTCTTTACCTCAGTTAGATCTGTTGTAATAGCTCCCATTTCATTGCTTATTTTGGCTATTCGCATTTTCTCATTTTTTTCCTTTGTCAGTATGGCCAGTCTTTTATTGATCCTTTCAAAGAACCAACTTCTAGTTTTGTTGATTGATTCTATCTATTGTTTTTGTTTTCCATTTCACTTATCTCTGCTCTAATCTTTATTATTTCCTTTCTTCTGGTAGCTTTGGTCTTCTTTTGCTCTTTATTTTCTATTTGTTCAAGTTGTCAGATTAAGTTATTGATTTTACACCTTCCTTTTTTTTTAATGTATGCATTTGTTGCTATAAATTTCCCTCTGAGCACTGCATTTGCTGTGTCCCATAGGTTTTGATAGGTTGTGTTTTCATTCTCATTTGATTCTAAGTATTTTTTTTATTTCATTTTTTATTTCTTCTGTGACTCAATAGTTTTTTTAGTAATGTGTTATTTAGTTTCCATATTGTCTTACACTGGGTTCTCCAGAGAAGCAAAACCAATGAAGCATCTATATATACACAGAGAGAGATTTATATCAAAGAAATGGCTCATGCAGTTGTAGAGGCTGGGAAGTCCCAAGTCCATGGGTCAGGCTGGAAGCATCTCATCACATAGCTGCAGGGGCTGGCAAACCCAAGATCAACAAGTCAGACAACAGGCCTCTGGCTCACAGGCTGCAGAGGTTGACAAATCCCAAGACTGGCAAGTAACCTGGAAAGTCACTGGCTCACAGACTGTGGAGGCCGATGAATCCCAAGATCAGCAGGTAAGCTGCTAGCTCAAGTCCCAAGAACCAGAGGTCAGATGAACAGGAGCCAGCTGCAGGATCCAGAGCAAGCAAAAGCCCCCGAGCCTTGTCAGAATGTTCACCTATATTGGATGCAGGCCACACCCCTAAGGAAACTCCTTTTCAATTGATTGGCTACTTACAGTAGCTCCCATCATGGAGGTGATCACATTATATCAGATCTTATCATGGAGGTGATTAAATCATTACACAACAGCCAAACTACATCATAACTGCCAAACCACTTAGAATCCTGACCCAGCCAAGCTGACATACAACCTTAACCATCACACATGTATTTTATTTATTTTCCTTGTTCTTTCTGTTATTGATTTCTAGTTTCACACCGTTACTGTCAGAGAAGATGCTTTGTATAATTTCAATCTTTTTGAATTTATTGAGGCTTGTTTTATAGCCTAATATATGGTCTATTCTGGAGACTGTTCCATGTGTGTTAGAGAAGAATGTGTATTATTCTGCTGTTGGGTGGTATGTTCTATATATGTCTGTAAGGTCCAATTGGTTAATAGTGTTATTTAGGTCTTCTGTATCTTTGTTGATTTTTTTTATAGTTGTTCTGTCCATCGTCGAATTTGGTGTGTTAAAATCTCTTACTATTATTGTGGATCTGTCTATTTCTCTATTCAATTCTGTTAGGTTTTGATTTATAAATTTTGGAGCTCTGGCACTGTGTGTATGAATATTTATAATTGTTATGTCTTCTTGGAGAATTGACCCTTTAATCATTATATAGTGTCCTTCTTTGTTTCTTATAATGGTTTTTGTCTTAAAGTCTATCTTGTCAGATATTAATATTATTGCTCCTACTCTCTTTTGATTACTGTTTGCTTGGTGTATTTTTTTCCATCCTTTGATGTTTAACCTGTTTATGGCTTTGTTTCTAAGGTGTGTCTCTTATAGACAGCATATTGATGGGTCATGTTTTTTTCATCCAGTCTGTCACTCTCTGCTTCTAGACTGATGCATTTAATCCATTTACATTCAGTGTGATTATTGGTATGGATTTACTGCTGCCATTTTGCTACACATTTTTTGGTAATGTTGACAGTTTCTTTGTTCTTTACTTTCTGTGTTGAGTTCTTTTTGTATATGGATTTTCTTTTCCTTTCATTTGTTGTTGTTTTTGTGTTTGCTGAGTCTTTTTGGTTTTCTTATTCTTTGTTTTGGTGAGTAGATTTATTAGTTTTCTTTGTGGTTACTCTAAAGTTTACATTTATCCTCCTAAATTTAAAACAGTCTGTTATATCTTGTGATCACCTTGACTTCTTCTCCATATGGAAGTTCTATAACTACATCATTCATTCCCCCTTTTGTTTTGAAGTTGTTTTCATTTATGTCATTACATCTCTGGTTCTCTTTAATTGGTCTTGTAGGTTTATTTTGCTTTTTTGAAGTCTTTACCTGGCTTGGTAACTGGGTGAAGCAGTCATATGTTTTTATCTCAGGTTGTTGTCTGATGTAGTTGGTTTTCTATTCAAAGGATTCCTTTTACTATTTCTTGTAGGGCTAGTTCTGGTGTGCTTGGAATGTCCTAATTTTGCCCTCAATTTTAAAAGACAGTTTTGCTGGATATATGATTATTGTCTGGCCGTTCTTTTCTCTAAGCAAGGATGGCAGGCAAGTCTGGGAAGAAAGGGGAGTGATGGGGAGCCTGCAGGGACAGAGAGGGTTTTTAAAAGACATTGTTAAATGATTTTGCACAGTCTTCTTACTCTGACAACTCTGGCATCTTGTACTAAGGGGAAAGTGACATGGCCTCAGTTTAGTGTTGCTGGAGTTCTTGAAGGACCCTTCTTGAATTCAAGGTGAGAAGCTCGAGCCAGGCATAGGTGGGAGGGGAGGATTTTCTATCAATCAGAAACGGCAAGTTGAGTTGGGACATGGTACATAGACACTTCCATGACTTGTCTGGAATGAGTGCCTTGCAGGTGAAGCACTTAGTAAAGGGCAAGTCTAAATGGGGGAGAAGTAAATTCTGACCCCAGTTGGTCCACCTCTGTGGTGAATAGACAGGGGGAAAAGGTGCTGATAAGAATTGACTCGTAAGGTGGGTAATTTTTTAAAAATAATACTGTAGTGTATTTTTGGTGAAGGTTTACACAGCTGTTTAGGTTTCCATTCAACAATTTCTACAAATTTTTCAGTGACATTGATTACATTCTTCACAATGCATGAACATTCTCATTATTTCCATTCTCATTCTTCCATTTCCATTAATCTAGTTTACCTGCCCCCTTACCTTCTCATCTTTGTTTTAAAGTAGTTGTTGATTGCTTGGTCTCAAACAGATGATTTTTTAAAGAAGCACAGTACTCACAGGTAGTATTCTTTATTTTGTGAGCCAATCTGTTATCTACCTGAAAGGTGACCTCAGATGCTAGTTTCAGTTCAAGGTTTAAAGAGTATCTCTGGGCAGTAGTCTCGGGGAGTCCTCCAGTCTCAGCTGGTCCTGTAAGTCTGAATTTTTTAAGAATTTGAGGTTCTTTTCCACATTTTTTTCCCCATTCTATCAGGATCGATCCATCTGTTGTGGCCTTGGTTAGAACAGTCGGTAGTGATAGTGGAGCATCATCTAGTTCTTCTGGTCTGAGGGTAGACGAGGCTGTGGTTTGTATAGAAAGTGGGTAATTTTTAATGATCATTCCTGAGGTAGGTCTGGAGAAAATTGTGCAAGGTCTGAAAGAGCAAATTTGTCCTCCAGGTGCGCAAATGGCTCACAGATAGAAAATAGTTGGTTGCTACCCTGGGTCAGAGTAGATGCTGAGTAAAGAAGTTCAGGCACATGGATGCAGAAAAGGCAAGAAGGAAGACTGATGCTGTGGCTGGTGATTCTCTCATGGAGTGGGAAAGAGATAAGACCGAGGGTTCTCAGACAAGTGCAGAGTCTTACTGAGTAACTGAAAGATCCCTGAAGGGTCCTAGAAGGCCCATTCCTCTCTTTTTGAAACTGTGGACAAGTAAGCTTACTACAATTCCAAGGATTTTTTTTTTTTTTTGAAGGAATCATTAACTTTCTCCAGAGTTGTTTTCAATTGTGAATTGTACAATATACGCCAACTCTCTGACAAATGCACCTATCAGGAACCCAGCAAACTGATGTCCCACATTTTATGTAAAACAGTTCTTGCATATTTAACCATAGGAGAATCCCTTACTCAGAACCTACTTTTAATTTCATCACAACCAAGACAAGCTTAGCTCTTATTTTGAAGCTACATTGTAGAAGGCAAGGAGAAGGACTGTGACGA